TACTATGACTCACTTTAGCAATTTTCTGAGGTCATACTATACTATGACTCACTTCAATCTGAAAAACTCACACAAAGAGAAAAGACAATTAGGAGAAATTTATTGATACAATTACATGGTCTTTGGCGCTTAGACCTGGGCAAGAAAAAGCACTTAATTTTGATAGATATGCATGAACAGGAGCAAAGAATAGGGCTCTTTCGCCCCCTGGCCTGAAACTGGTGCTGGAGCGGAGATAGATAAAGTTGGTCAGTCTGTAGACTGCTGGTTAGCAAGATGGTATGCTGAGCTTTATGGGGAGATCCGGTGAATTATGTGAGCTGATACTAGAGCTTCACTGAGGGACCTCAAAGATGGAAGTCCAGTTGGATAACATAGGTTGAAAGAACCTGTCCATGATGAACAAGAATGAAGCAACAGTGGAGAGGAAAAACTCCCAGTTGGGAAGAAACCTCTGGCAGAACCAATCTCAATATGGCAGTCTTCTGCTGAACCGGTTAAGATGAGACAGGGGACACAGTAGTCTCTGATGAAGCTTAGCTACAAAGGTGGAGGAGGGATTTAAGGGGGGATTGAAATGGTATCATCTGAATGAAGTCACAGTGCATCTCCCGCTTGCGCACAGAAGCAGACACGTGCATATCTGAGGCCTTGTCTCAGACTTGTCTCAGACTGTCTTACGATAGCATGACTGTTTTAAGCCCGTTTCTGAGGTCATATGATAGTATGACTCGTTTTAGCCTATTTTTAACACCATACCATTCTATGACTCATTTTAACCTATTTCTAAAGTAATACTATACTATGGCTTGTTTAAGCCAATTTATAAGGTCATACAATGCTATTACTAGTTTTAACCTATTTCTGAGGTCATACTAAACTATGCATCATTTATCCATTTTTAGATGTCATACCTTACTATGACTCATTTGAGCCAATTTATGAGGTCATACTATGCTATGACTCGTTTTAGACAATTTCTGAGGTCATACTATACTATAACTTAATTTAGCAAGTTTCTGAGGACATGCTATACTATGACTCAATTTAGCGTGTTTTTGAGGTCATACTATACTATGACTCAATTTAGCGTGTTTTTGAGGTCATACTATACTATGACTCGATTTAGCGTGTTTTTGAGGTCATATTATACTATTACTCAATTTAGCCTATTTCTGAGATCATATTATCCTATGACTCGATTTAACCAACTTTTGAGGTCATACTATCCTATGACTCGATTTAACCAACTTTTGAGGTCATACTATCCTATGACTCGATT